TGTGCCGGCCCTTGCTTGCCCTTGCCTTAGACTTAGCCCTTGTGGGTGGAGATGCTCTAAGAGTCATCTTCTCTGGAATCCCCTCATGTAGCTAGTTTCTGCATTTTCCAAAATTGTCAGTGAGAAGGAGGTAGGCAGCTGTTTTTTCACATCCATTCCGCCTAAGAGAAAAATGGGCTCTCAAGAGGAAAGGTGGAGGGAGGCCGAGGCCCACGCACAAAACTGTTCACCGATTGGAAAAGCGACCGAAGGAAGATCATCTCACCGAACAATGGAGTGGCGTTCTTTGGTCATGGCCGAGGTTTATCTTTTCATCCGTCCATTTTGGCCAATCACCGACAATAACGTGCAGAGAAAGTCACAACATTGATTGGACGTTTGTCAGAGTCACGATCGAAAATCTAGTTTGGCCAGATTAGAACTTAGCCTATAAATAAATAGAGGACTCCCAGCAAGTTTCAAGGGTCTAGTCCCAAATCAAAAATCTTCATCGAGCAAACCCTTTATCTTTTATCATGTATCTTTAAATTCTTTCTTAGGAGAGTAGGAGTAACTATCAATAACCATTGCAAAAAATCCCAGAAACCATTTTGGGATTTCTGGGTAGTTCCCACTTCATTCCATCCATTTTTATGTCAACAAGAAAGTTCTTTTAATACTCGCATTTCTTAAGTGTGTTGTTAAGCACCATCCAATCCACCCAGATACCTTAGGATACCCACATTTCCCAAGCTATCTGAACCCACTAAGCTACCAAGCTCAATGCTGTCATCACTGAGCTATTGACTTTGGCACCCGTCCATACCAATTGTCGTCACCACTCCAACAACATTGTAGTTCAGGCCGTGAACTGGACGGCCGAGAATAGGGCCGGCCCTGACTTTTGAGTGGCCCTAGGCAATAAACTAAATGAGGCACTTTCCCTTAGTATACAATTGCGGAAAAAAAAATAAATGAAATGATTTTACATAGCGCGTAAAGTGCGTGAATAATGATTTTATGATAAACAATTACAAAGCATAATCCTACCTGAACTAATCTCTTAACAGCAAAGTCATTGTCTGTGTATAATCTAGAAATTGAAAAATAGTTTGATGGATAAGAACAAATATATAAAATAAAATAAAAATTATAAATCTGATCACCTTTTTAATTTCTCATGTTCCTCCCTTCTTGGTCACCATCAATCTCAAAGACAATTTGTGAGCTTTTTAGTGTGAGATCGATTCTTAGGGTCACAATATGATATGAGAAAAAAAATGATGAGAGAAACTAAAAATAATGGATGGATAGAAGAGAGATGGGGAAAACCGAGAAAAATATGGTGGTGGGTTATTATGAGATGAGTGGATTAAATAGAGTTCTTCCATGGAGAAACTAACTAGGAGAGGAATCGCCTTCCTCAAGCACGTGTTATTTCTATTTCTATGTGGGAAACGAAAAAACCTTATGGGAAGAGGAAACGAAGAAACCTAATTTAGGCCTAGTTTGGGATTGCTGTCACTTTTAAAAAAAAGTTGATTTTGCTGTGCTTTGAAAATAATTAGCTGTAAAGTAAAGCAGCTCCATGTTTGGTAAACAATATTTTCAAAGTGCTATTAATACAAAAAGCAGTATCAAAATCATTTGGTAAGTATTAATATAAAATTGTTGTAACCATGAATAATGACTAAAATAGACATGATGTTGAAAGTGTTATGTACTAACCATGTGGTGGTAGTAGTGGTGATGGAGTGGAGGTGGTGGTGGTGATGAAGGTGGAGTTGGTGGTGGTGATAGTGGTGGTGGTGGGGATGGCAGCTGTGGAGGAGGTGGTGGTGGTGGTGGTGGAGGAGGTGGTGGTGGCGGAAGATGAGGAGGAGGAGGATGTCGTGGTGGTGATGGTGGCAGTGGTGGTGACAGCGGTTGTGGAGGTAGTGAATGTGGTGGTGCAAGTGATGGAGTTAGCTGTGGAAGTGGAGGTGGTGTCATTTTTTAAAATGAATTATGGTATTTTGGGAATTAAAAAATTCATTAAAGGTTCATCTCTGCTTATTTTAAAAGCAACCCAGAGCCTGCTTTTAAATAAATGCTGCTGTCAAAAGGCCACTGCTTTTAAAATAATCGAGGTATTTTATTTTTACCAAACACCTTAAACTTCTTAACTTTAAAGTGAAGCAAGTTTTTAGCCAAAAAAAGGCAATCCCAAATAGGGCCTTAATAGCGTATTGTTTTTGATAAATTGGACAATAGTATATATACAATATATAACAAATTTGGGCAACTTAATTGGAGGCCCATGGCCAAGGCCCCTCTTGCCAACACCCAAGGCCGGCTCTGGCCGAGAATTGTTCCCCTCTTGGCCAGAATCGTTTGCAAAAAATTCAGACAACACACAACATCCACCCATCCATCTATTCATTCACAAACCGTTCGAATGGTCATCCGTGCTGGCACTGTTAGAAATATGCCCTAAAGGCAAACATGTGATGTTGCTTTCTCGATATTTCACCATCACTAATGGACAAGATCGTTGTTTTCAACCATGATATTTGGTCTATTATCATAACAGTAAAACAAGTACTTGGAATATGAAATAGTAAGAGAGCTATGCAATGAGATTGGGTCTAAGGAGACCTCTCACACTTGCACACCATTTCCTAAACTTTCCCGGTCATAGGTTATCAATTAGGCATTGATCATCTGCAAAGACTGGTACACATGACAAGTCTCAAGTTATTGTGTGTAGAGACACTAAGATAAGTATGTCAGTTCTTATATGGACAAGTACACTGAACGTGATCAAACCAGAGTTCTAGCGTAGAAGTCTTAATCACATATCAAACTAGAACTCATAAGTTGCAACAGTGCAAACTAGTCCTTAGACTTGAGACATGATAGTTGTCTTGTGAACTAGTCGTTTGTCTTTGATATCACTATTGTGTGTAAGTGAATGTACTGATAAGCTCATAATTATATATCATTTGAATACTCTTTTTCTTAGTTTTTATGCTTAGTTTCTCTTATTTATTAGTTATTTATCTTGTTTTTTATTTTGTCGATAAATTTAAACCAAGGAATTAATTTGAAGATTTTTAAGGCAATCATTTTTGCATTATGCACATTTTCTCAAAAACTAACTGTGCAGATCAGCAAACTTTAAGGAATAGTCCGTACGAGCCTTATATGATTGCGAAGCCTTGGATGTCTAGTTTCTACAGAATTTTACGATTGATGGTTCTAAAGCCTAAAGAGGAAGATATCGTGTTTTGAGTGACTGCTGTTCAGAGCTAGAATTTCTGCGCGGAAATTGGATTAATTGCTTGGGTTATCCATTTTTATCTAAGTAATTAATTGGGTCTTAATTTGTATTCCAAGATGAAGAATAGGCCTATTAGAAGATTCTAGAAGAGCCCAATGGGATGGGTGTGTCTTGATCTAAATTAGAAAGTTGAATAAGTCAATCTCCTTCTCAAATAAGGATTACTTAGTTGTCAAGAAAAAAGGAAAAGGAAACAAATCATATTTGAAGAAGGATTTATACTTGCAAACCTTGGTGTTTTTTAGAGCCTATAAATACTTCTCTTTTATGTGCTATAAGACACATTGATAAGCCTACACAATATTCACCAATAATTGGAGCGAAATTGTGGAGGAATGGCCGGTCTCTTTTCCGTCTTTAGTCAAAGGGTGTAATCTTATTTTTCTATGCTTATTTGTTGTAATCCTATGATTATGTCTAGCTAGGCCTCTTGACCAAGGCTAGGAGGATGCCTTAGTTTAATTATTTGTGTTATTGAATGTTGAGTTTTTGATCTAATGAGTTGTGTTGATAAATTTATAATCCTTACTTAAGTTTATTCTAAGTGTTGAACTCCTTTGACTGGCCATCTTTAGGGGTTTGCATCTAGGTGATAAGATGGATACTTGTAGACCTAATAAGTTGCATGTTTCAAAGTTTCTTGGCATTATAAATTGTGAAGCTCTGTTTGAGCAAAATTCCGCACGGGGAATATTCACGAGTTGATTCCTCAACCTTTGATCTTCCTTCTCTTCCTTCCTCGATCCCTGCAAAATAAATAGGAGTAAATAGACCACACCCAAGGGGTGTTGGCCAAAAGCCCTTTGATGCCTAAGTTAGTTCAATTGGATCTTGACAAAGATAGGAAAATAGCTAAAATGGATGGAGAGGAGAGCCAGGTGGCCTTAGCCGTGAGAGAGAGAGATAGTGAAAGGAGGGGGGGGGGGGGGGGGATCAAAAGGAGGGGGCGAGGGGGTTTTTTTGAAAGCATTACCTCAAAATGTCTTGTATATATTTATAGTCTCCTTGTGTGCTAAAGTTATGGGAGAATAATCCTTATTTGGTTAGGATTATTCTTCCCAAAAAAATGATAGGAATTACTTCAAGAGATTTGGTGGAGATTGGTTCCTTGATTTAAGGAGATATTCATATCTTAAATCAAAGATAATTTCCCTAATTCAAGTAAGCTTTTGACTTCTTCTTGGAGTTGGGCTCCTAATTAAAGTAGGCTTTTGACTTCTTCTTGGAGTTCGACTCCTAATGGGAATAGGCTTGTGATTCCTCCTTGACCTAGGATGTCCAACCTTTATAAATACAAAGCTTCTCTTCACTCCTCTTCAAAATGCAAACTTTTCATCCTCTACTTTCTAACTGATGAGAGAGATCTTGAAAGAGTCCAGGAGATGAGTCGCCGTGCACACCAAGGTAGTTTGAATATATTTTTTTTTCACGGTGAGGACCAGTTGGGTGTGCCCAATGGGTTGTCGTCGTCACCGATGATGCTGTCGGCGATGATGGTGTCATGGTGGCTATCGAGGCAATTGCTACCGCGAATTGCGTTTTTTTTTCTTTCTTCACTCGAAGCAAGGACCAGCTGGGTGGGCTCGGATGGTTGTTGTCGTGATGCGATGGCAGGAGAGACAGTATCAATCAGGCGATGCTACTGCTACTATCATCTCTAGTGGTGGCAACGGCAGCTGCTACTTCTTTGTCGCAGACCTGGTTGCTAGATAACGACTTGGCAGCTAGACAGCTAGGCAGCGGCTTGGTGGTAGTCGCTATCACAATAGCAACCGATTGCGGAAGCAGCTTTTTTGTTTTTTCTATTGAAGTTATGCCATGACCTGCTAGGTAAGTTGCAGATCGGCTAGGGTCGAGGTGCTGCATCAGCGGCTCGGGCCTCGTGGCCTTCTCGTTGTCTTTTTTTTTTTTTTTTTTTTTTTTTTTTTTTTTTTGGTGCCACAACTTAAGGTTTTTTACATGCTATCTGACTTGCAATTTTCATCCCTTTTTGCAGCTATTCACTGATCATATCTTCTGATGATGGTAGGTGATCACCAAGTTTACAAGTATCTTTGTACCTGTGGAGTAGTTCCAAAGTGCACAAGAATATATTCTTGGCTAATCTACATTGCGTTACATCTAAAGCTCACTTCCATAAGTGGCGTGCCACCTATCCTTGTGTCATACTTGATGACGTGCATGTCAAGCTTGCGGTGTCTTCGACTGATAATGAGCCATGTGTGGATCCGAATGATTCGAATGCCAGAATTATCACATTTCGTCCCTTATACTTCTCCTTAGGCTTCACGTTTTCATTATCAAAGTTCTTTAGGAAGTTGTTCTGACCTATGGAGTGTGCCCCAAGCCAATGTACTCCGAATGTCTACCAGGCGATCATGTGTTTTGGGAATCTGAGTAGTTTCTTCAAGCTGGATCTGACGGTCCAGGAGTTCTTTTATTTCAGTGAAGTGGAGTGCTACAAGAAGTATGCGTAGGTCTGTCTACGCAATGCCAAACTGTTTGACAGTCTCAACCAAAGAGATCTCGTATGGCACGCCGATATGTTGAAGGTCAACAGACGGCGGGAAGGCGAGGTTGGCAATGGTCCACTTGTTCCTCTCACTTTTTGCCATGGTACGTCATACTTCTATTGACCTGCTTCAATTTTTTTATGAATTCTTTGATGTGTGACTAACTGACTTATATCTTCTACTTGCAGAGAACGATATCAATAAGAAACTGGATCTCGAGCCAAACATGGCTAAGGTCCGTTAGGCCCTGAACATCCCTACAAGGTTTTGCGAATAGTACTGGTTGTTAAGTGATTATCAGAAGAAAGCTGGTGCTCTGCCCCTTCCAAGGATGTTAAGTGATGGAAGTAATATGGCCTAGTCTCGAATGATCTACCTGTTGAATAGAGAAGTCCTCGACTGAACCCCAATTAAAGACGACG